TCACGTAGCGCAGTTGCTGGTATGCTAATGCAATGCTAGCGATATATACTTTATCCCTATCTCTAATCATTTTCTATCCTTTGACATGTTTGATCTGGTATCTGGAATCATATATCTGGTATCTGGTATCTGATGTCTGGTATCTGGTATCTGGAATCTGGTATCTGGTATCTGGTATCTGGTATTTGGTATCTGTTATCTCTTTATCTGGTATCTGGTTTCTGATGTCTGGTATCTGGTGTCTGGCATCTGGTGTCTGGTATCTGGTATCTGGTATCTCGTATCTGGTATCTGGTATCAGGTATCTGATGTTTGGTATCTGGTATCTGGTGTCTGGTATCTGATATCTGGTGTCTGGTATCTGGTGTCTGGTATCTGGTGTCTGGTATCTGGTGTCTGGTATCTGGTGTCTGGTATCTGGTATTTGGTATCTGTTATCTCTTTATCTGGTATCTGGTTTCTGCTGTCTGGTATCTGGTGTCTGGTATCTGGTGGCTGGTATCTGGTATCTCGTATCTGGTGTTTGGTATCTGGTACCTGGTATCTGGTATCTGGTGTCTGGTGTCTGGTATCTGGTATCTGGTATCTCGTATCTGGTATCTGGTTTCTGGTGTCTGGTATCTGGTATCTGGTGTCTGGTGTCTGGTATCTGGTATCTGGTGTCTGGTATCTGGTATCTGGTGTCTGGGTGTCTGGTATCTGGTATCTGGTATCTCGTATCTGGTATCTGGTTTCTGGTGTCTGGTGTCTGGTATCTGGTGTCTGGTGGCTGGTATCTGGTATCTGGTATCTCGTATCTGGTGTTTGGTATCTGGTATCTGGTGTCTGGTATCTGGTATCTGGTATCTCGTATCTGGTATCTGGTTCTTCTGGTGTCTGGTATAAGGTATCTGGTGTCTGGTTCTGGTATCTGGTATCTGGTATCTGGTGTCTGGTATCTGGTGTCTGGTATCTGGTATCTGGTATCTCGTATCTGGTATCTGGTTTCTGGTGTCTGGTATCTGGTGTCTGGTATCTGGTGTCTGGTATCTGGTGTCTGGTATCTGGTGACTGGTATCTGGTATCTGGTATCTCGTATCTGGTGTTTGGTATCTGGTACCTGGTATCTGGTATCTGGTGTCTGGTGTCAGGTATCTGGTATCTGGTATCTCGTATCTGGTATCTGGTATCTGGTATCTGGTGTCTGGTATCTGGTGTCTGGTATCTGGTATCTGGTATCTCGTATCTGGTATCTGGTTCTGGTGTCTGGTATCTGGTGTCTGGTATCTGGTATCGTATCTGGTGTCTGGTATCTGGTATCTGGTGTCTGGTATCTGGTGTCTGGTATCTGGTTTCTGTGTCTGGTATCTGGTATCTGGTGTCTGGTGTCTGGTATCTGGTATTTGGTATCTGGTGTCTGGTATCTGGTGTCTGGTATCTGGTATCTGGTATCTCGTATCTGGTATCTGGTTTCTGGTATCTGATGTCTGGTATCTGATGTCTGGTATCTGGTGTCTGGTATCTGGTATCTGGTATCTGGTGTCGTATCTGGTATCTGGTGTCTGGTATCTGGTGTCCAGTATCTGGTTTCTAGTATCTGCTATCTGGTATCTGTTATCTTTTATAAGTTTCAGTTTTCATTTTTCATTTTTCTATTTTAATTTTTAATTTTTTATTTTTAATTTTTCATTTTTCTATTTTAATTTTTAATTTTAATTTTTGATTTTTTCGATTTTTCGAATTTTCGAATTTTCGAATTTTCGATTTTTCGATTTTTCGATTTTTCGATTTTTCGATTTTCGATTTTCGATTTTCGATTTTTCGATTTTCGATTTTTTCGATTTTTCGATTTTTCGATTTTTCGATTTTTCGATTTTTCGATTTTTCGATTTTCGATTTTTCGATTTTTTTTTCGATTTTTCGATTTTTCGATTTTTCGATTTTTCGTTTTTCGATTTTTTCGATTTTTCGATTTTTCGATTTTTCGATTTTTCGATTTTTCGATTTTTCGATTTTTCGATTTTTCGATTTTTCGATTTTCGATTTTTCGATTTTTCGATTTTTCGATTTTTCGATTTTTCGTTTTTCGATTTTTCGATTTGATTTTTGATTTTTGATTTTTGATTTTTGATTTTTGATTTTTGATTTTTGATTTTTGATTTTTGATTTTTGATTTTTGATTTTTGATTTTTGATTTTTGATTTTTGATTTTGATTTTTGATTTTTGATTTTTGATTTTGATTTTGATTTTGATTTTTGATTTTTGATTTTTGATTTTTGATTTTTGATTTTTGATTTTTGATTTTTGATTTTTGATTTTTGATTTTTGATTTTTGATTTTTGATTTTTGATTTTTGATTTTGATTTTTGATTTTTGATTTTGATTTTGATTTTTGATTTTAATTTTCGATTTTCAATTTTCATTTTTCATTTTTCATTCTTCAGATTTCAGTTTTCATTTTTTAGTTTTCAGTTATCAGTTATTTGTTATCTGTTACCTGTTTTCTTTTATCTGTTACTTTTTATCTGTTATCTGTCTCTTTTATCTGTTATCTGTTATAAGTTATCTGTTATATGTTACCACCTGTTACCTGTTACCACCTTTTACCTGTTATCTGTTGTCTGTTATCTTCCATATAGCATTGAAAATATCCTGTATACAATTGTATAACAGACTCAGTTTATGTGAGATGCCGGCAACGTCGCATGTGTTGTTGTTAATAGGGAGATATTGCAAACATCTGCCTTATTAGTGCAGACCTATTTTGACATCTACGCATGCGCACATACAATTCTGTATCTATGAGGAATTAATAGGGATAAGGCACGTCCTTATTTAAGCTATAATGGGGAGTTTTAGGCGTTCTTATGTCACGACGATTCACGATCTAAGCAAATCGGGTGTCGTCGCAAGCCTATTTAACCTATAATTTGTACTCTCAAAATTCAACGATTGCTGAAGCGTTTTGGTAACTATGAATATGGATAAAAAGAGAATAAGGTTCACGTATGACGACGAAATGATTTTGCTGCGTGAATTTATTGCACAAAACCCTATCCGTTCTCCTGAGAAGTGGGACTCAATCTTACAGAACTTGCGAGAGCTTACGGGAAAAGAATTTATTTTGAGAACAATAAAAAAGCATCTGAACCATCTTCTGGAGCTGTTCCTCAAAAGGAGGTTAACAGCAAAGTCAAGTAAGTATACGATAGCACACTGTACCTACATGTATTTTAATAACAAGAGAATGCTTAATGTAAGACTTGGTGAACAACATTTGTGTTTGACAGGTCTGGCATAGAAGAAGTCTATAATGAAAGAGAACATATGCTCCAAGAAGCCAGCTAGTTAATGAAAGAGACCTGCTCAACTACACCAGCAAAAAAGAAAAAGTGGAAAACAAAGGAAAGATATGATTGAAAAGACACGCAATGAAAGAGAGGCTATGGCACTGCTGGCCTTTCTGATGTGGATGACACTTTAATCGACCATGATTACGGTAAAATAACTATTCTAAACATTTTTTATACATATTACTATATTATCACAGTTTTAGGTGTTTGTGTTACAGTCGACGTTGACACAGAAAATAATAATAAGTCTGTACAAGATGTTGGAACTGCAAAACAGATATCTGTACAAGATGTTGGAACTGCAAAACAGATATCTGTACAAGATGTTGGAACTGCAAACAGATATCTGTACCAGATGTTGGAACTGCAAAACAGATATCTGTACAAGATGTTGGAACTGCAAAACAGATATCAGGTAAAACAATGATTAGAATTACTGCTTGAATCTTCAGTAATAGAAACACTAAAACAGATCCACAGGTTATGGAGTATGACCAGTAAATAAAACCAGTGCTCGATATAAAATGTGTAGGTACTTATGTTATACTTTGATAAAAGCCAGTGCAATGACTAACCTGTCAGTGAACTTCTTTGTTTAGCACTGCGGTTTTATTTACAGGCCAGACTAACCAAATAGTGGATCCAGATGACTACAGCGTATATAGCATTGCCATGGCATCCCATTCAGAGGGCTACTACTAGATTAAGTAGTTTCTAGTATGTATACATTACCTATAAAACAGAAAGCTCAAAACTACCTCTTACATTTCATGTTCAAGATTAAATACATTTGTTTATTGTTGCTGTTACTTACTTTTCGATCATTACAGCCCCCCGTACCAAAAGGATGAACAAAAGTAAAACATTGAGAAAAATGGCCTTGATTACCTACGAGAAAAAGCGGAAATATCACGAGAAATAAGATCTGCAGAACTCAAGTTAGAAGAACAAAAAATGGATAATGAAAAGAAAAATTGCAAATGACAAAGCAAGACTTGCCTTGGAGTCTAAAAGGCTTGAGGCAGAAATTCAAGAAAAAAAACATAGGATAGAGTTAGAACAAAAGAAATCTGAGCAAGATGTCGCTGAAAGAAAAAACTTGAGTGACCTCATCAAAACACAACAAAAGCTTATTGAAGCATTACTGACAAAACTTGATAATAGATAATTTGCCATTAAAAAAATAATATACTGGCCTTATATTGAAATAATAATGTTGATGCTAAGGATGGTGAGCACAAACCAAGTTTGTTGCCGAAAATATATGAAATTGATTCTGCAACTGGTTCCATGTATGAACATAGTAAAACTGTGTAACTTCAGGATCAAACATATTTCATCCACAACTCCTGAAGAAGTTGATTTCATATATTTTCAGCAACATACTAATTTAGTTTTGAAATCTCTTATTGGGTGCTTGCTGCCCTTATGGTTGTAAAATAAATAAACATACATTCCAAACAAGCTTTATTGGTCTTACAAGTCTATAAAAAATTACAAATTATCATCAAGCGTTACAAGTTAGAAACAACCCAAAATTTAGATGTAAAGATGGCTAGCGCCATCTAAATTTGCGCTAGAGATAGTTTCTTTGCAAGTTTCGTCAATGACGACGCAGGCAAAGCAGAAACCCCTTACGATTTCTGGTCGCTGACTCAGATGAATTGTACAGAGTACAGATACCCCGGTACCAACCAACAGTAGCCGGCCACCAGAGTCGTAACGCAAGGCGTTCACAGGACAAACTAACAATAGCATTTTCTGCAGAACATGCAATAATATAGTCTGATATACTCGTTTGCTTTCCATTGCAAAGAAACTAGTTCTAGCGAAATTTAGATGGCGCGAGCCATCTTTTACATTTACCGTCTTCCCGCTATTTGATAGACCACATTCGCTTGTTTACTTTCCATTTGTCCGCCTTCACGGCTGGACCTGATACAGACCTATACCATACTGATGAGGGCTAAAGAGCCCGAAACAGCGCTGTCTGCGGTTGGTCTTGGCTGCGGCGATGGAAAGCAAACGAGTATTTCAAACCCAAAATGTCCTCTATTTATCAGTGGCCTATGTAGGTCTCAAGTGAAGGTGGATTTGTATTGAAATACATAGCAGTCTGACTACTATACAGGCATGTATGGCAGTTAGTAAGTAGTACAGCCACCTTGTATAAAGCATCAACGTCTTGAAGTAGCATTTTTTGGTTTTTTGAAAAATCTACAAAGGCAAATTCTGATATGACTTTCTGAAAACCCCATTCTACTGCTATCCTTAGAACTTTCATAGCAGAATTGAAACTCTGCTGATGGGCAGGTAAATCTTCCATTCTGCCATGAAATGGGGTAAATAGCACATCACTCAGCCCATATCCTTGATCACCAAATAAAACAAATCGTCTTGTGTCAAAACATGTCTTTTGCACTAATTCTTCAGAGATACCTGACTCCCTAAATATTCTGGCATCATGCCTTCTTCCCGGATATGCGCCTTTCAAACTAACAATAATTCCATCAGGACAAATTATTGATTGGAATTTTATGCAGTGATACCTTTTGTGTCCTGAATAATACTCTTCTTGATTTTCAGAGGGTCGACAAATTTTCCTTGCTGTACCATCGATGAAACCCCAACAATTATTCATAGGTGCTCCTTTATTATGAATAGCCTACAAAAAGCACATTTCAGCATTTTATGAACCAACCATCACTTCAACTATATTACACAATACAATACCTGTGCATAATACTCCAACTTCTCCCTATTAAACCACTGCAATGAATTCAAATTGTTGAGAAGTACAGCATGCTCCTCCATAATCACACTTATCAATTTATTTATGATTTGTGACAAAGACTGAGTTGACAAGTGGAACATAGGGACCATATCACACAATCTGTTTGGATATGCCAGCCGTCTTAGTAGAATGCACAATGCTGTTAAACCTGAAAGAAGATAAATGGAACTTATACTGTGGTTTTCATGTTGATAGAATTCCAGCCTCTGGCAAGTGTTGTTTGAGTCAGAGGATGGAGTTCGATTGAAATGATGAACATATAGCAATAAATATTTAAACAAAATCATACCATCCACTTTATTACGTGTGATAGTGACAATTTCTGAAGGTATTCGTAAAACAGCCATCAGCCTATGAAGGTCAGACCTCTCAAATCGAAAATTTAGTCTTATTACTTCATCTGGCAAGTTTCCAAGTTGAATTGTGCTGTATGAGTAATGCCTCTATCAATAAATATATTATGGAGGATGATATGTTCTATTTCCTCCTCATCTGCTCCTGCCAATATAACTGCTTCCAATTCAGCTTCCATTTTACAATCTCACTTCTCACACCTTTGGTAGAATTTCAACTACGAACCACCTATATTATGCAAGCAAAAACTGGAAGGAAAAGTGAGGTTAAGATAAACACCATCAAAGCGAACTGTCAAAATACGTTACATGTGCAATATCTCTAATTCCACTGTACTTATTTAGGTTCACCTAAATAATGCATACCCTTATTTAGGTCCATATGCAATATCTCTCTAATACCATACATGGCGTTATAAAATCTTCCATGTAGCAAATTGTATAGCAGACTTAGATTTATATGAGGATCGTCGCATAAATCTAGCTATAACACGACTTGCAAAAAAATGGCGCTTGACACTGACATATGTCAACCGTGTTCGTCTACGGATAGCAGTGGACTATGCTTTCTTCAGTGTATATGTTTTCTGTTTTGTAATGTCAATGTCATTGTCATAGGTAATTTTTTCTAACCTGGAAAATGAAATGTATTTTGTTTAAAATTAAAATTCAATAACTCCTATTGTGAGATGTGTGCATCTACAACATAATGAAAGGAAAAATTAAGATTCTGAAAGTTAATTCCTAAATATCATAGTAAGGAAATCCGTAAAACTAAAAAAAAAGTAAACATAAACACCTTGAGAAAACTTCTTCCGTATCAAGTGGTTAAAGTGGAGTTTTAAAACAATTTTTGTTGAAAATAAGGCCGTTAGTTTACAAGCAGGTATGTAACTGAGCGATCCGCTAATGTGTGTGTATCTTGCTTATAAAAAATGCTGTATTTAGATATTGCTATTCACATGAACTACCGTTCTTTGATAGGATATTTTCAGATTGAACTTTTGTCTTATTTTTACTATTTATTGCAGGAGAACAGTTGAACCAGGTCCTGGTGCATACTTATGTAGTTGTCACTTTGTGGATGGGAAAAAAGAAAATAGACCTACATTGTTTAGGTATAATAGGGAGAAGCAATTGAACTTTCCATCGCCAGAAAGAAGAACCCGTAAAAATAACAACAATGTGAAAATTGAACTCTATAATATGTTACTTCAAATTGGGCCCTTTTAAGGGATGTATGTAATAATTATGTGATCTGCAGAAATAAAAATAGTTTCCCAGTAAGGAGCATAAATCATTTTAATGTAGAGTTCAGTACTCGTATAGGTAACTTTCACTCCCCTGGCAGGCTTAATCTAAGCGATATCACAAATATGTCTATACCAAGTTACGATTATACTGTGCAAGAGTACTTATCTTACAAATTTTGACAAGTAATGGTGTCTGTTGTTTTGACAAGTCTTGGAAGTCACAAGTCCTTAAAGCAGCTACATTCTAAATCGATTTAGATCAAAATAAACAACTGCAGTGGCTGTGAAAGTCTTAGTAATTTTGAAAACTTTGGTAGTAGATATGATTATCAATGCTATTTTTCAGCGCTTTGCATATTCCTTCATCTGCTTGATAATATTTGCCAATCGAAGGGATAGATAACAAGTTTGTTTACTTATTTTCCATTTATACATACTACTCACGTGAGATACTACTACTACAAGGTTTTTACAATATTTATGAGTTTGTTGGTGGTAAAGTTCTTCGTTTGGGAAAAATTCAACAGAAGCAGATGAACAATGCTCACTTTATGATCTGGAGAAAAATGTGCTATCGCCTTAAAATAAAATTTCCTCTATTTTTTTTAATGTTGTATGATTATGATCAATCAATTAGAAACATGACATATAATAATAACATCTCAAAAAATTAGACCAGAAGCTTGAAATTATTAAGTACTATAGTTGTTGGACAGTAAGTAATAGTATCGCTTGAAAATCAAATTTTGTAATCTGTTTCCTCTGATTCAATAATGAATTTTTCTGTAATCTATGATTAAGATCAGTCTTAGAAACAGGACAGATGTGAGTATCCTTGAAATTAGACATATAATAACAACATCTTTAAAAACAGAATAGAAATTTGAAATCATCAAGTGCTATAGTTTTTTGACAAGTAATGGTGTCTGTTGTTTTGACAAGTCTTGGAAGTGACAAGTCCTTAAAGCAGCTACATTCTAAATCGAAGTACATACATTCTGCATTGAGATCAAAATAAACAACTGCAGTGGCTGTGAAAGTCTTAGTAATTTTGAAAACTTTGGTAGTAGATATGATTATCAATGCTATTTTTCAGCGCTTTGCATATTCCTTCATCTGCTTGATAATATGTGCCACTGTTAGCCAGCTAATAGGTCTACATATTTAGATACATTGAACTGAGGGTCAAGACTGAACTCTTACTGAACTTCATAGAAGTGACTGACTACTTACGTTTGCAATAGAAACACATAAACTGTAAACACTTCACACAACACTTTCACTATTTGTAGCTGCGATTGCTTGTTCTAAGCTTCTAATTAATCCTTATTAACGGGAGTCTCATTGTTAAGATTTCGATAATGTTTACATTCATACATTGTAGGTTAGAATGATGCAATGTGATGCAATCAGACATACGCTTTATATCAATCGGTTAGAAAAGCGGAGCTTTATGCCATATTGTAAAATTATAACATGAATAGGGACTTACAATCATATTTTTATAGTATTTATAAACCGATGATGATTTCAATAAATTGATGAACGTCAAAGAATAATTGCAGCCTTTGGCGGTAGACATCGCAATCTGTAAAAATAAAAAACTACTAGATTCATCCGATTTTAATGGCTCTAGTCCGGTCCGTTTAGACAATGGAATATAGAAATTTTGAATCTTTTCGAAAATGTTGATTTTCACGCGCAAAAAAGGACAATTCTATTTGGCGTGATCCAATATTGGATGCAGCGATAGTCATGAAGCCGAAAATGGCACGTTTTTGACGTTCCGCTCGCACTCGCTCGCTTTCGTAATACGATCGTATCTACAATACCCCGCCTAACAGGAATCCGGGGATCTGGAGGGGAAATTCAAAATTGAAACTTCAAACTAAAAATGTGTGCATATCTTTGAATTTTCTAATCTGCCGAGTTTAAAAAATGCGATCGGGTAACGTGTCGTATGTCGGTTTAATCAGGAGACTTTGGTCTTTCGTTTTGCGAAAAAAAATCGTAGCTACGTCGCTCCGTAACGCAGGTCCGTATCGACGAAGACAAAGTACGCCGAAAAACGGTTGTCATCGGTACTTTTGAGGCGCTCAAAGTTTACTTTTTCGAAATTTGACGGTAATTCTGACGGTCAGAATCGTTTCGTCAGCTCATTATCGTTATTTTTCGATAGCTGTATAATTTTTACTCGCTCACGTACGGTAGTAATAAGCGAGGACAGAGCCGGATGACAAGATGACTTTTTCACGCGTCGAAAAGTAGCGTATTGTCGAGGAATTTTTAAAAAATCGAAACTTTTCAACGTAAACGAATAATAATGATGAAAATAGTATTAAAAGAGTGTCCGAAGCATGGACTTTCTCACGCAAAAATCGTCAGGTTCGTAGCTCCTTTATCTTCGGAGGAGATAGCTGATATACGGCGAAGCAGCGCGCTTTATACGCAAAAAAGTCATTCTTGACGACGTTCGAGGTTCGTTTATTCGAAACGGGTACCGTAAACGAAAAAACGTCTCTCCGCATAATTTGTAGCGCTCGCCGAGATGTACGAAACGCGACGCGCGAAATTCCTTTTCTCATCGGCATAAGGGAGATATCGTAGTTTTCAAGGCGATTCGTCGTTTTTGTCGCTTTTTTTTCGAACATTTCTAGAAAAAAAACCGAGACGCGGAACCAAACAGATTTAGCTAATAGGCACGTATTTTTCGTTTAGCTATCGAACGAGACCGATCTCGAGTCGATATTTCGATAAACGGCGAAACCAGTGTGAAATAACGCCGCGTACCGTCCGAAAAACGGTCGATTTTTCGACTTTACCGGCCGTTTTCGATCCGATCCGTTCGTCTCGCCGCGACGGCTCTCGCTCCCCCGTAAAGCGCCGAGTTTCTACTTTCCGAAACGGTACCTCTTTCCCTCCGAACGTACCGCGAACCTCCTAAAAAACCGCGAAAAGCGCGTCGACGTCGCACGGCCTGACTCTAACGTCACGTGACCTTCTAAGGAAAAACAATCGATCACCGCTTAATATAGTCGACTAGCGCAGTTTCTGGCATGCTAACGCTATGCCAAATATTGTACGCTGATGTCTTTATTTAAAACCTCACGTAGCGCAGTTGCTGGTATGCTAATGCAATGCTAGCGATAACTATCACTAATCATTTTCTATCCTTTGGCATCTTTGATCTGTTAACTGGTATCTGGTGTATGGTGTCTGGTATCTGGTATCTGGTATCTGGTTTCAGGTATCTGGTATTTGGTATCTGGTGTCTGGTGTCTGGTATCTGGTATCTGGTATCCGGTATCCGGTGTCTGGTATCAGGTATCTGGTATCTGGTATCTGGTGTCTGGTATCTGGTATCTGGTATCTGGTTTCTGGTTTCTGGTGTCTGGTATCTGATGTCTGGTATCTGGTATCTGGTGTCTGGTGTCTGGTATGTGATGTCTGGTATCGGGTGTCTGGTGTCTGGTATCTGGTGTCTGGTGTCTGGTATCTGGTGTCTGGTGTCTGGTATCTGGTATCTCGTATTTGGTATCTGGTGTCTGGTGTCTGGTATCTGGTATCTGCTGTCTGGTATCTGGTATCTGGTGTCTGGTATCTGGTATCTGGTATCTCGTATCTGGTGTCTGGTATCTGGTGTCTGGTATCTGATGTCTGGTATCTGGTGTCTGGTATCTGGTGTCTGGTATCTGGTATCTCGTATTAGGTATCTGGTATCTGGTATCTCGTATCTGGTGTTTGGTATCTGGTATCTGGTGTCTGGTGTCTGGTATCTGGTATCTGGTATCTCGTATCTGGTATCTGGTTTCTGGTGTCTGGTATCTGATGTCTGGTATCTGGTATCTGGTATCAGGTATCTGATGTTTGGTATCTGGTATCTGGTGTCTGGTATCTGATGTCTGGTATCTGGTGTCTGGTGTCTG